GCAGCCAGTAACTGCCTGAATGAAGAGATGCCTCTAGCTTCAGTGGCCCAGGAGCAAGAGGCAGAGATGAAGCCCAAGGTCAAGGGGCTTTTACCCAGCGCCTAGAGCCTGGCACTTTGAACTCGGATTTCTAGCCTCCCGAACTGTAAGAGAATAAACTCCTGTTTGTTCAAGCCATTCCATTTGTGATATATTTTTGTCAGAATGGCACTAGGTAACCAGAACACACCAGCAGGGTCATGTATGGTGTACAGGTTTCAGTGGCACTTCCAGACTAAGAGAGTCTAGGATGAAGGAAGTGGCAGTCTGCTTCTGAAAAACAACAACAACAACAAAAAAAAAAACCTGTCTATTGAAAACCCTGTGAATAGCAGTCATGCTCTAGAGCTGGTATCAGTTACATTCAGTGCCCTGCCTTCTCCCTTCCACTGAAGTCCTAAGCACATCCTTAACTTACTTATTGGGTAATCTGTCCCTGATAGTCACACTATATAACAAAAGTAGAACTTTCCCATAGGGTTTCCAAGGCTGTAATTTATGGAAAGGAGCTCTGATGGTGTAGTGGCTGCTACCCAGATGGTTGGTGGTTCAAATCCACCAGGTGCTCTGCAGGAGCGAGATGAGACATTCTATTTCTGTAAAGATTTACCACCTTGGAAATCCATTGGTGGTAGCTATGGGTTGGAATTGACTTGATGGCAGTGGGTTTTGTTTTTGGTTTAATCTTTATGGAAGCAGACTGCCACATCTTTTTCCCAAGGAGTAGCTGATGGGTTTGAACCACGAGCCTTTTGGCTAGTAGCCAAGCATTTTAACCAGTGCATGACCAGGGCTTATTCTTATAAAAGTACAACCCATGTATCCATATGGGGCAGTTCTACTCTGCCCTGACGTGTTGCTATGAGTCAGAATCAACTTGATGGCACATAACAACAACAGTGTGGTTCTTTAAATTCTTAAATTTATAATTGAAACACAAAGAGGGCCAAAACAGGTTTGTAGGCTGAGTTCAGCTGATGGACTGCAGTGTACAAACTCTGATCTGCTTTGATCCCCAAGTTCAGGTTGGAAACTGTGCCCTATAGTGGTTACCTGAAGTGCCTAGCTAGTTAGTGGCTAAGCTGTCACTGGTACCTACGTTCCTTCCTCTCTACTCTTTCCCTTTTTGCCATAAGAATCTGTCCCTAGGAGGGTGGTAACTTGAGTGTCCTTCATAGAAAGAATGGATAGATGAAACAGAGGCAGGAGTTAGAAGTAATAATAATAGCAACATACATGGATCTTTAAAATATAGACCTTGATGAAACAAGTGAAAAACAGAATGGAATATAGAAACTTTTTTTTTTTTTTTTTTGTAAATTAAGAATAAATGCACACAAAACAATACAAATGTTATAAGGACATTGTGTTGTTCTTATGTGCTGTTGAGTCAGCCCTGACTCATTGCGACCCCTCCTTGAGTTTCTGAGGCAATATCACTATGGAAGTAGATTGCCCAACCTTCCTTCCAAGGAGTGGCTGGTGGTTTTGAACCGCCAGCTTTCTGGTTAGCAGTCAAATGCCTTAGGCACTATGCTACCAGAGCTACTGTTATAAGGACATACACGAACAAAATAATACATTTCAAACACATTAGAATTGTTTTGCCTCTGCAAGGGAGCCCAACGAAAGTGGGATATGGGGATTAAAAAAACCACAGTTGCTGTGGAGTCAGTTCCGATTCATGGTGACCCTGTGCGTGCCTCTCCATAGGGACTTTAATGCTGATTTTTCAGAAATAGATTGCCTGGCCTTTCTTTTGAGGTGCCTCTGGGTGAATTTCACCTCCACCCATATGCATATTAACCATTAGCTGCCAAGTACATTAACCATTGTACCATCCAGGAACTTTGGGATATGGAGATAAGATAGAATAAGTTAAACAACAGAGAGGCTTTGCACAGATAGTGATAATATGCTGTGTACTTAGGAGCTCTGGTAGCATAGTGCCTAAGGCACTTGACTGCTAACCAGAAGGC